TAGAGACGGGGTTTCACTGTGTTAGCCAGGATGGTCTTGATCTCCTGACCTCGTGATCCGCCCGCCTCAGCCTCCCAAAGTGCTGGGATTATAGGTGTGAGCCACCACACCCGGCCAACCAAATATTTGTTGATCTGTTTCTGCAGACTGTTCTGTTCCATACGGTACACTTGTCTGTCTTGACACCAACATTACAGGGTCTTATTGTCTGTCTTAGTCCACTCAGGCTGCATTAGCATAGCACCGTAGATGGAGTGGCTTATAAACAACAGAAATGTATTACTCATGCTCTGGAGGTCGGGAAGCCCAAGGTCAAGGCACCAGCAGGCTCAGTGTCCTAGTGAGACTGCTTCCTGGTTCATAGGCGGTTGTCTTTTCCCTGTGTCCTCACGCAGCAGAAGGGATGAGAGAGAGCTCTCTGTGCTCCGTTGTGTAAGGGCACTAACTCCATTCTTGAGGCGCCACCCTCATGACCTAATCACTTGCCAAAGGCCTCAACTCCTCATACTCAATAACATCATATTGGGGATGAAGTTTCACTGTATGAAGCTGAGGGGAACATAAACATAGTATATGATATGTGCCTTTATGATAAGTCTCAAAATCAGGTAGTATCAAGCCTTCAACTTTGTTCCTATTCAGAGTTGTCTGGCTATTCTAGGTCTTTATTCTTCCATGGATTTTAGGTCATATCAGTTTATACAGAAAGCATGTTGGGATTTTGATTGGGATTACATTGAATCTATAGGTCGGTTTAAGGGAGAATTGAAATCTTAATAATAATGAGTCCTCCAGCCCTGGAAAATGGTATGTCTCTCTATTTATTTGCGTCTTTTTTCATTTCTTTTAGCAAGATTTTATACTTTTCAGTGTATAGGTCTTACGTATCTTTTGTCAGATTTATACCTATTTAAAGTTTTTAAATGGCTATTATAAACAGTAATTTTAACTTAAGTTTCTAATTGCTTGTTTCTAGTATTTATAAAAAGCAGTTGATTTTTGTCTGTTTACTTTGTATCCTGCAGGTCTCCTAAACTCAATAGCTACAGTAGCTTTTCATAGAGTCTGTAGGATTTTCTGCATATAGAGTCGTACATCAAAGAATGACAGTTTCAAGTCGGGTGCAGTGGTTCACGCCTGTAATCCCAGCACTGTGGGAGGCCAAGGCAGATGGATCACCTGAGGTCAGGAGTTTGAGACCAGTCTGGCCCACATGGGGAAACCCCATCTCTACTAAAAATACAAAACATCAGCCAGGCGTGGTGGCGGGCGCCTGTAATCCCAGCTACTCAGGAGGCTGAGGCAGGAGAATCACTTGAACCCAGGAGGCGGAGGTTGCAGTGAGCCAAGATTACCCTACTGCATTCCAGCCTGGGTGACAGAGTGAGGCTCTGTCTGAAAACAAAACAAAACAAAACAAAGACAGTTTTACTTCTTCCTTTCTTATTTGGATGCTCTGTATTTGTTTCCCCTTGCCTTCCTGCACTGGTTGGAACTTCTGTGCCGGTGTGGAATAGAAGTGGTGAGAAGTGATGCACTGGCTTCGTCCCTGGTCTTAGGGGCAGGGCTGTCAGACCTGAATGAGTTAGTACAGTGTGGGTTGTAGGTTCCATAGTGGCCCGCTATCAGGTTGAGGAGATAGATTCTTATTTTAGTGAGTTTTTAATCAAGAATGGATATGGGGCCAGGTGTGGTGGCTCACACCTGTAATCCCAGCACTTTGAGAAGCTGAGGTGGGAGGATCACGTGGGCCCAGGAATTTGAGGCTTCAATGAGCTGTGAATGTGCCACTGCACTCCAGCCTAGGCAACACAGCAAGACCTTGTCTCTGTAAAAAAAAAAAAAAAGAAAAGAAAAAATAATGGGTGTGGGATTTTGTCACGTGCTTTTTTTTTTTTTTTTGGCTTCATTGGTATTCTCTAGTGGTTTTTTCAAAAAATTTTTTAGACAGAGTCTCACTCTGTCACCCAGGCTGGAGCGCAGTGGTGCCATCTCAGCTCAGTGCAACTTCTGCCTGCCAGGTTCCAGTGATTCTCATGCCTCAGCCTCCCGAGTAGCTGGGACTACAGGCGTGCACCACCACCACACCTGGCTAATTTTTGTATTTTTAGTAGAGGCAGGGTTTCACCATGTTGGCCAGGCTGGTCTCGAACTCCTGATCTCAGGTGATCTGCCCACCTCGGCCTCCCAAAGTGCTAGGATTACACGTGTAAGCTGCTGCGCCCATCCTTTCTAGTGTTTTTCTGTTCTCTATTTCATTGATTGATGGATTGTTGCTGTGATTTTTTTTATATTGACTTAAAGGTTGTATAATCAAATTTGCATTACTGTATGCCAGCCTTAATAGTTCTGAATGCAAAGTTAGTTATTTTATGTGGTTTTCTTCCCGGCAGGACTACAAGCAGACGGTGTCACTTTGCACTTGAACAAGTCATCCACTTAGGTGTAAAAGGTATTATTTTTATAGAATGATAGTGTTATATCTTCACAGAGTATTTTTATAGGCTTCATGTAAAATTTTGTGTAAAATAGTCTCTTCAGTCATAACATTAGAAGTAAAACTTTGTTATATTCATGTTTTTAATTTTCTATCAAGTTTTAGTATTTTCTTACTATTTCAGCTTAGTGAATAACTAATAATAGCTTGCTTAAATAACTGAAAATAAATTCATCTTGCTCGCTTTTCCCTTCATAAATGTAATTCATTTTTGTTTTTGCAGATGGGCGAGTAAATGGCTTTGTTGTGAAGAATATGCAGTACTAATAATGCTCTGATTTAGAAACAGTGTAACAGGCAGGTTAAGAAAGGAAGGGAATAGAATATTAATTACTTTAGGGTCAGCCGTAAACAACTTCTATTAATTTTTTTTTTAGCTTTTTAGTTATACCTATGCTCTTACCTTTTTTTGTTTTAAAAGTGTTGTTTCCAGAAGAAGTTATTTTACAGTCTCCCCAAGTGACAGGAAATTGGAACCATGAACAAGACACCAAAAGCAATGGACGGTCCACCAGCAAAAAGGTAGTGCTCAGCGACGTAACTGTCTCTACACAGGGGATGGGAATTTCCTTCTTGGCGTATTAGCGCTCAGTTGACTGGAGTATTCGGGCAGTGTGGTTCACAAATAACCCAAAATTGCAGTTAAAATCAAGTGAACTAAAATATTCACAAAATAGATTTAGTGTAAAGTTTATGTGCAAGGGCTAAGATGGCTACAATATATTAAATAGGGGAAGCAAAGTATGGATGTTTATATGACCTTAGAGTTGGGTTTTTTCTTTTTCTTTTTTTTTTTTTTTTTGAGACAGAGTCTCGCAGTGTCACCCAGGCTGGAGTGCAGTGGTGTAATCTTGGCTCACTGCAACCTCTGCCTCCCAGATTCAAGCGATTCTCCTGCCTCAGTCCCCAGAGTAGCTGGGACTACAGGCATGTGCCACCACACCCGGCTAATTTTTGTATTTTTAGTAGAGACAGAGTTTCACCATATTGGTCAGGCTGGTCTTGAACTCCTAACCTTATGATCCACGCTCCTCGGCCCCCAAAGTGCCGGGATTATAGGTGTGAGCCACCATGCCTGGCTTTAGAGTTTTATTTTTAAATTACATGGTTTTTGTGTACACTTAGGTACATTTATGTGATTGTGTATGCGTGGAAAATGTCTGGAAGGATACACACCCCGCAAATTGTTAACATTTCTCTACTAAAAATCCAAAAAATTAGCCGGGCGTGCGGGTGTACACCTATAATCCCAGCTACTTGGGAGGCTGAGGCAGGAGAATCACTTGAATCCAGGAGGCAGAGGTTGTAGTGAGCCAAGATTGAGCCACTACACTCCAGCCTGGGCAACAAGAGCGAAACTCCATCTCAAAAAGAAAAAAAAGCTTTCATAGTCCAGTCACTCCATAATTAGTAATATAGTACCTGTTTTTGTGAATACAATAGAAGTGGTTTTATTTATCTTCATGTTTCTAATAACGAGAAGGTCATCTATGCCATGGTGGAGCTTACAACTTACTCTGTGCTATTCAAATTTGGTTTTATGAGCATGTTTTCGATGTATAACATGAATTTTTAAATTATATCTAATATTCAAAAATGCTTACCATTTTATACTTCCTCCCCCAAAATGCAAAAATGATAGGTTTAGAATGCCTACACAATCATGGAAAATACGACAAATGAAGCAGCAAGAGGTTATCCTTGAAAGTTATTTGTGGCGTATTTTATAGTTGATCTCTTTTTTGTTCTGCAAATAGAAAGGAGTCTTCCTTGGACAGTGCTTTTCTTCTCCGTCATCACCTCATTACTAGTTCATTATACTGCCTGATTCTCAGGGACAGTCTGTGATACGGATGGCCTGTGAGATCGGGGAGGTGTTACTATTTAGGTGGGCACATTCCTAATTGACTGTAGATTTTTAAATGCAAAACATTATCTTCTTATGGATTAACTAGACTGAAAATAAATTCAATTTTTTTTTTTTTTTTTTTTTTTTTTTTTTTTTTTTTTTTTGAGACGGAGTCTTGCTCTGTCGCCCAGGCTGGACTGCAGTCAAGATGGTCTCGATCTCCTGACCTCGTGATCCGCTCGTCTCGGCCTCCCAAAGTGCTGGGATTACAGGCTTGAGCCACCGCGCCCGGCCTCAAGAATATTTCATATGTCAACCAAGATAGAATTTCAGGGACCAGATTTATCTTTCTTCCTGAAACAATAAAAAAATCAGACAAACCATATGGAACAACAATTTCAGACATTAACATCAGCTGTCATAGGACAGGGATTCCTGAGAGAGGAAACAAATGAGGTGACCCCATGGTTTTCCCAACTCACAGCCTTCCGAGAGTGTCTTGGCCAGAGAGCACCAAGAGGGAGCCCAGGTGGAGCCTGGTGACCTATCTGAGTGCAGAGACAGCATTTGGAAGGGTGGGGAGGGCAAGCGGGATAAGGCTGACAGAGTAGAATGCTGGGGAGAGGGCAGGACACAGAGAGCATCTGGGGACCTACAGAGGTTCCTCCTTGAGTTTCCAGCTGAGCATTGATGAATGCGTGATGTGAGTAAAATACCCAAGTGTGGAAAAGAACCAGCTAGAAAGAACAGCAAGAAAAATCCTTAAAGTTGACACAGTGCCAAAAATAGCTGTGCCCACAGCCAGAGAAGAAAAACCTCATAATTCACATGTAGAGTCCTTGGGAGGGTGTTGTCTCAGGAGTGTAGAAAGTCTAGCCCTTGACTGAAGGCTGCTCCGGCCCAGACTGACAAAGTATGATGGCCTCAAAGGGAGCAAGCTGTTCCCAAATAATTGGATTGTATCCCAGAACAAAGTTTAAGAATATTTATAGGAATATAAAATTATCCAGCACCCAACAAGGTATAAAATGAACACTGTCTGACATCTGATTAAAAAATGAAAAAGTGGGCCGGGCGCGGTGGCTCAAGCCTGTAATCCCAGCACTTTGGGAGGCCGAGACGGGTGGATCACGAGGTCAGAAGATCGAGACCATCCTGGCTAACACGGTGAAACCCCATCTCTACTAAGAAATACAAAAAACTAGCTGGGGCCGGGCGCGGTGGCTCAAG